CCTGCTAGCCGGAGGATGAGACGTGTCGCCACGACAAGGGAGGACAACAAAGAAAGCATCTTCTTGGAAAAGACCGCGGCATCCACCGAAGATCGCCCCGGTAATTGGGCGAGCTGTGCAGCGGACTCTTCGAAGTATGCTGCCACGATCGTGGGAACTCTCGACTAGCGGCACACACACGATGAGGAAGAGCCCTGCTGGCGCCACCTTGCAGTACAGTGTTCACGTGGATTGTGCATGCTCGTCCCCCTCACCTGTGTGTGTGTGTGTGTGTGTGATTGGTGTTCCACTCGGAGAGGAGGAGCCCGACAGGGCATAAAACGACGCCGCAGAGTGCTGGACGTCGCTCTGAACTATGTAACGTACAACCACCACGCTCGTGGTTTGTGAAACCACTATCCTTTCTTTTCTGTAAATATGTGTAAATAGTGCCATAAACCATGTTTGTTTTCCGTATCCTCTTGTCAGCGTTCGTATCCTCCGGCGACCTTTCTTCAGACCCCTTACAACTGGTTGGCAGCGGTGAGATGGACTTCACAACATGGTGCTGTGCTGTGGTGAGTGCTTGGTCTTTGCTTTGACTTTCCAGGCTTCATTATAACTGTGTGAGTTTATTAGAAGCTGGAGTGTGTGTGAATTAGGGAGATTACCTTTTGTGAGTTTTGAGTTGTAGGGATCACCTAATTATGTGTGAAATGCAGGACCAAAGTACAACGGCATTCATGTCGTGGAAGGCAATGCTAAGAGATGAACTTTTGTGTGTGAGTAAGCATCTAGGCATTGAAATAGAGGAAGGAATGGGCAGGACAGCGATTTGGAGGCTGACCTCGCAAAAAGCCAGTGAGGACGAGATTCAAAACGCAGTAGAGATTTTTGAAAAACAGGAAATGGAGGAACGGAAACGAGAGGAATACGAAAAAGAGGAACGGGAACGAGGGGAACGGAAACGAGAGGAATGCGAAAGAGGCACAGGAAAGGGATAGAAATGAGCGTAATCGAGGACGCGCCTTGGTGCTCGAACAATTGGAACAGAAAAACGAGGCAATGAGAAGGAAGATTCAGCTATCCGCAACTGTAGCGCACGAGAAGTGCGATAATCAAATGAGTGAGGTGTAGTTTAGATCCAAAGAGAAGGATAGCACGTGTGAAAAAAGCAACAGATTCAAAGACGAATCGAGTTTGAGCGCTGCGAATGATGATGCGTTGAGTAGAGAGGCCGACAAAGGCCAGAGCGAGTGCGACGAGGTGCTGTGCCAGTTAAATGCTAGCGAAACAGCTAGGATAGCGGTAGAAAAGCTGGTACAGACCTCAACCGTGTTTGTCGCGACGGTGGATTTTGTAAACAATGTGGAAGTCATCAAGGACACCGGAGTTAGCTCAAAAGCAGCGAAAGCAGGGAGTGAGAAGAACAGTGCAGTTGTGGGCAGCTCCCAGCAAGGCGAGCGAGATTTTTCGAAGGGAAGCAGCTGCACTGTTCCTAAGAGCGTCAAGCTGTCTGCCAGTCTAGAGTGTGAAATAGGTGATTTCTTCGAAAATCATTTAGACGGCGCGGCGTCGACAGCTGACGAATGCAGTGAGAGTATTAGCGACCTTGAGCTGCGAGTGGTAGGCTCAGAGACGAGTCACAGGAAACGGCACAGACGCAAGAGACGTCGGAAGGCCGCGAGAGAGACAGAAGGCACTAGGCGGGTAAAAGAAGGCGCAAAACCTTTGAGCCTAGCTAGCGAGCCTATGAGTTCAGTACTAACTTCAAAGTCGTTTTGCATGCGTCCGAGCCGCCGGACGAAAAGAAAAAGAACAGCAAGTTCTTCGCGAATAGAATCGCCTGGAAAATGCCAGTCTTTCCGTTCTATACACAGAATGTTTCAGAGCGCACGTGAGTACAGCGTTAGCACAGGTGAATCGGCCAAACAAGGCGACAGAGCTAAGAAATCAAAGTGCCGAAGTACTAAAGCAGGTGGTGCAGAAGCACCCTTGAATTGTAATTCCACCGATGACGCAACCCGAGGCTCACTTCCAAGCGGTGCAGGACAGGTCGGTCGCAGACGTCGCCGGAAACGAGGGAAGCGTACGCGGGCGACAAAGCGAAGGTATGAAAGAGGTAGCAAACAGCCAGGCGAAAGGAAGAAGGGTAGGTCAGCGTCCAGTACAACGAAAGGTCCTTTGGGGCGTACAGTAAGACGCCAGTGGCGAAACGGTATGCCACAGCGAAGGTCCTCGCGACGGAATTCGCGGCAGAAGTTTAAAGCTTTCCGCAGACAAGAGTGTCGAAGGGGTCCTAGGAAAAAGGCCACACTAACGAAGCACCGCGCGGGTGCAAGACCAAAGAAGGCATCCTCACTTTTTTCTGCGGATCGCTGGTGTGCCCGCCGCGAACCTGATCAGGGCAGGCTGAAATCGCGAATGATGCGTGACTGCGCTGTTCAGCTTGAAGGACGTGCACGTTGTGGTGCACGTCCTTCAAGCGGCGTTCTGAAATTCCACCAAGACCGCGACCGCCACATGTGCGATTGAAGTGAGGGACAGCTGTAAGCTTAAGAAGGTGACACAGGAATTTACGGGGAAGCATGTTTGTCTGCTTATTTTTTTGGTTTTGAAGTAATATTCCTTCGTCATCTTCATGGCTAGATTGTTTAGAAACAGTTTTTTCCTTTCTAAATCGTTTAAAAAAAAAAAACATTGCAAGTGTTGAGTTACAGGGAAATGGCCTACGATTAGGTGTGCGATTGGTGTGCTACCGTTCTTTGAATGAGAGTATGATGTCGTGCTAGGGCGCACAGCATCGTCTTGTGCGTTCTTTAAAAACATGGGCTGGCATGAGGCTACATTTATTTAATGAGCGTGTTGGTGCACGAGTTGCATTTCCCTTTGTTATTTTAGTATGTCCTCAGGGATCAGGTGAATTATTTAGCTGAGCGTTATGTTATTTACCGAACGTTGAGATTAGGGATGCGTTTTAAGGAGTTACACAGTTCGATTTATTGAGAGTAAAGAATGTGCCCAGATAACTTGTGTATAGGGTCTGGCAGCATTCGTGTAAACTTTTGTATTTAGTTGTTTCATGAAATGAGTCATGAAGTTAAATGTAAGTTACAACTTAGTAGTGCGGATGGTAGGAGAAAGCTAGTTTTGTAAAGAGTGTAATTATGGTTATTTGGGGCCAAATTATATTTGCCTTTGTGTGCTTTTCTCACACGGCAATATGTTACATCTTTGATAAGCATCTCCACGTCCATGATTGTTGTAACTTTGGCGGCACCAAATTGTCTCAAAATTTTAGCGTACAGGTTTTTCCTTTTTGTGTTGAAAAGCCTGGAGGGTTTTAAGCGGGTTCAATGTGCTTGACTTCAGCATGGTATTGTGTTGTGTGGTTCGCCTTGCTGTTGTCAATCATTGAGAGCTGGTTTGGGAGTTGGTTTCGAGTTCACAGCTGGAGGGAGAAAAGCCAGGCCATCGCCCTCGGCACCAACCATTCTCTTCGTGCCCAGCGGTTGGGAGCGCTGGCCAGCTGAGATTTTCCGGGCGGCGGAGGAGCTGTTAAGTTTGGCCGGGAAATTCATCTGGGCAGACGCCATTGTGCGTAAACCGGTCCACTGGGGAGACTCTCAAGCCCTTCGGCGCCTAGTCTGACAGACGCTGTCGAAGATTTGAGCAATTATCCAGACCATGCGGCAAGCAAAGGCGAGTTCCCGTCTTTCATATGCGGACCCTTTTGTCGTCTCTTCGAGCAGAAGCGGTGACTGATGCCCTCAGCGACTCATCGGGCGACGGAGGAAGCTGGCGTGACCGGCACCAGAGCTGACAGGAGGGCGTCGCTCCTTTTAATCCCCAATAAAGTAGACGACCGGCCGGCTGCCTGTGCCCGCCAGGCATTGTCCCTGCTAGCCGGAGGATGAGACGTCGTGTCGCCACGACGCCAGGACGAGGGAGGACAACAAAGAAAGCATCTTCCTGGAAAAGACCGCGGCGTCCACCGAAGATCGCCCCGCTAATTGGGCGGGCTGTGCGGCGGACCCTTTGAAGTATGCTGCCACGATCGTGGGAACTCTCGACTAGCGGCACACACACGATGAGGAAGAGCCCTGCTGGCGCCACCTTGCAGTACAGTGTTCACGTGGACCGTGCATGCTCGTCCCCCTCACCTGTGTGTGTGTGATTGGTGTTCCACTCGTAGAGGAGGAGCCCGACAGGGCATAAAACGACGCCGCAGAGTGCTGGACGTCGCTCTGAACTATGTAACGTTCAACCACCACGCTGGTGGTTTGTGAAACCACTATCCTTTCTTTTCTGTAAATATGTGTAAATAGTGCCATAAACTTGTTTTGTTCTCGTATCCTCCAGCGACCTTCCTTCCGAACCATAACAACTGGTGGCAGCGGTGGGATGCCATCAGCAACTTATTCCTTCAACATCTTAAAACTGGTGGCAGTGGTGGGATGCCATCAGCAACTTCTTCCTTCAACATCTTACAACTGGAGGCAGTGGTGGGATGCCATCACCTGCAACCTTCTCCTTCGACCTTACAATATGCCTCGTTGGCATTTTATTGATAGATGAAAATTTGTTATGCTAGAAACATATTTAGTACTAATTAACTGAACCTCATGAACAAAAAAATTATGACAACTACAGTATACTGGGAACAATATGCACTAGGTTTGCTTTGCATAGCGACGTTACTCTTTTTTTAAAGTTATGCTGCATGATATTTGGGACACCTTGTATAAACCTCAGATGACCCCAGACTTCCCCTTACTAGATTGCAATACTTCTAATGTGTAATAAAAATGTATTCTGGCACCTGTTGAGGGGCCTTTTAGAAAATATTGTAGTTCACATGCACTTTATGAGTTCTGATTCTGATGACATTGATCACCATCAAAATCATTTTTAACTGCTCTAAATAATTTTTTTATTACACCGAAATGAGTTTACCAAGAGATACATTAAATATTGACTTATAATCTGGCACTGTAGCAAGATATGTGTCCTTTTTACAGGCGGTGATGTTTTATGGAAGTGAACTTGAAATAGGGGACCTCCCTTTGCCCAGAAAAAGAAATCATGACTGGGCTCTACTTCATGAAGAATCGCCGAAGAACAACTTTCTTTTCTGCATGCCTAATGTAAGGGTCTATTGCATGTCAAACATTTATGACTCACCTTCATTTTTAAGTTTAATAATATTATTGCTCACTTTCATATGTGTATGTTTTGTGCTTCAGGTTCTTGGCTGGTTCAATCATACTTCGACATTCCGAAGAAACTCTGACCTTCCCCTGACTCTGCAATATCTTAACTATATTACTGACCTCACAAGCAAGGAATTTTTTGTTGATACGACCTCCAAGACAAGGGCGCGAACCAGCCAGTCACTGATTGCCTACGTTCAGTCAGACTGCAACACACCAATTGAACGCGACTCTTTTGTCTCAGAATTAATGAAATATGTAAGCATTGACTCATTTGGAAAGTGCATCCACAACAAAGACCTTCCAAAAGAGTAAGTATATGAGCAAGTTGTGGAAAATGCTTGTTTATTGGCATTTTTTCATCTGTTTGTAATGTTCTGCCCAACAGAAAGTTTCATTCACAAGCATTATAGTAGTCCCATGATCTGTGCTGGCTATCATGCTCACACTTGTTCACCTAGCTTGGCTAAGGAGTTTGCCATGATTGTGGGAGTGTGAAAGCATGAGGATCATGACTGCTTTAGCTGTAATTGTGGGTGGAGGTGAGGCATTATCTCTGGGAGTCATTGTTGATAGTGGACACTGTCACCACTGTAAAGCTGTGCAGTGAAAGTGATGAATAAACATCTCCATGTCCAATTGAAGCAGTAACTGTAGTCAATGCTATTTATAATATGTACATGCAAAAGAAATGGCACCTCTGCCTAACGTTACTGACAGCTCTAAGATGTCAGCTACATGTGAATCTGACCATATGCATTTTTCAAAAGGTGCATGCGAATGCATGGACTATTTCAAACGTCTGTCATTAATAACCGACATAAGAACGCCAGACTTGGTACACATGGCACAAAATAAAGTGTGTGATTACAGTTACTTCATTCAAAGTTTGATTGCAGTTGCCCATTACTGCACCATAAACATAATTCACGACTTCCTACTTACTGAGAAGTGTCAGACAATGCTTTCCTCTGAACTTTTGTTGCCAATTTACAGGAGTAGTCAATAGACCTTTTCAATGTTTAGAAACACAGGCCCTTGGTTACATTCGGTTGTGTTCACTCGTGTGCCTTAATAGCATGGGTGGACATGTAGAGCTTTAGAAAATAGTCCGCTGGTTTTCTAGTTTCCTTCCCTTATTTGGACTTTTCTCAAAAGAACATTTGTTTAATGTTCCTTTAAGCTACATAAAAATTATAAAACATTCCCTTCGACTTTACGCACATTCCTTTTATGTGAAAAACGAAAGACCTTCCTTACCCTTGAAAAGAACTTGAAAACGTGGTTTCAATTTTAACGTTAGGAGCTGGTAAATGAGGTGACCGAAAGTTTTTGGGGTATAACACTTGCAACCTTGAAACCATTTATAGAATAAGCTGGCCAGACAGCATGGGTATCTGCAAAATTTTGTCTCAAGGGAAAAAAGGGGGGTGCAAAGCCGTGGCTGCATTTTCCCAGAAGATGGGGGAGGTCTGGTGTGCCTTGGGTGGAAGGCAAATGCTGGTATGAGGTATGACTTACGCAGGGCAAGTTCCCCTTGAGCACCTCCCTGGTGTGCCTGGTAGTCTCTATGCAACCACAGCAGCCTTTTGCATACAGTTCATTTTCATTAACTGAGCCATTAAACAGTTTTCAGGGCTCAGTATTTTTTTGGGTGGTAACAAGATAGATGTTTGGAGATACTCAGCATATGTGAGAATGCCTAATATATTAATCACATAAAGGAATCACTAAAACACTGCTTACCATATTATCATGTAGTCATCCTCACCAGAAGCATTTCTTATCGGAAGTGTTGCCATTTGCTTGTATGTCATTGTTCAGAAATTTTGTAGATAACCACCTCACTATCACAAGAAGAATGGTCTTCATATTCAGCTTGTTTTTTGCTTGCTGTACCTTTTATAGCAATGCAAATAAGTGTCAAATTGCAAAACGTGGCAGCGGTCAGACACTGCTTACTGCCTCCGGCCTCAGAAGGCTGTTTTGTAATAGAGATGAGCACACTACTGTATTATTGCGAAAGCATCTCTTCTTGCATGTATACACATGCGTGATATTTGTGTAACATTTTCTTTGGGTGCGGCTCCACATAGTCTACTGCCACTCTAGCGGTGCAATCAGCACAATAGATGATACACAGACGTCAATGAAGTGCAAGGTTCCTCTTCTACGCAGGCACATTGAGCTCTTACTCCATGTAGAGCCCCACATTGTTAGGCCAGTGGTATAGAAATGGATGATGGAGTCAACAAAATTGAAGTTGCAGACTCATTATTTTTTTTAATGCAGAGCATTTCTTAGTCGCATGATGTTGCGCTTCGATGTCGGCAGCGCCGTCCACACCCCCACTGCTCATGCTCGTGTCTCACGCCTCATGCCCACATCTCGTGCTGGCCCAGAAAGACACCCGCAAAACTGTCGCTCCAGGAGCCATTAAAGATAAAACACTATCTGGCATTCAGCAAGTAAGCATGCGCAGTGGGGGTGCGGACCTCTCCCCCCTACTCCTCTCCCTCAAACGCGGGTGGTGTGTATATAGGCAGTGGAGCGCGCGTTCGGAATTCAGTCAAGGGCGTCTTTACTTGGCTTTCACTTGACGCTTTGCTTGACTCAAGTAGATGTGATGGAAGCAGCAACAGTGCCTTCAACCAGTAGTGGGGCACAACCCAACGTGGGCGTCCCACCACTCGTTGAAGGTGATGCTTCTCCTTCATTCAGTAAATCAGAATAATAAAGACAATAACAATTCAGCATTCCCAAACAATACCCAATTACGTATCATTCACGCGATACCCCCCCAATCTGCAGCACATTTACTCGAGTTCCCCACGTGGAAAGATGTGGGAAGCTTTTTTCTTTTTTATATATTGAACCTTTTCTGATGAACACATTATACTGTGTGTGTATATTAATTGTTGATAAATTTACCAACACGGCTTTCAGTATGCACAACCCACAGATAAACAGCAGCTTGAAAAGTCTGCAAGGGTCCCTGATAATTAATTTCCAAAAATTTCAGTTGTCATGTTCACAGATTCATTGTGAATAAATCAGCGATGACTCTGAAAACTTTCTTGATGAGCATGCAGGAGAGAGCAGTGTTGTATGTCCAAATACCATCACACAAAAGTTAATGGCTACTCCATTCTGCAATGCTCACTTTTGAGTGTATAGAGTGTTTCATTATTGCAGCATGCCTGCGTCTCTTACAAGGTCCTCTTAGTAGACCTTGTGAAAAGCTAAACAAAAATTTTGTAAAGACTATTCTGTGTCATCGACATATAAAAATGGTGTCGCTGCAAAGACATACCAGTACCTATTTAAATTATTGACCAATACCTGTTGGAGAATTGTGAGATTAGGTGCCATGGGGTTGGAGGCAAATGAGCATACAGTATGGCACTGCTGTGGGTGTTTTATGTACTTCCTACCTAATTCGAATTCTCAAGGCTGCACCCTAATAACGCTTCTATCATCAATAAATTACTGATTGTATATACAATGAAAACTTGTTAATTTGTGTTTCATGGGACTGGAGAAAATGTTTGAACCGATTGAATGCTGATTTGTCGAAAGTATGAATAAAAAAGTAAACAAATAATAATCAAATGCCTGTTACATCGATAAACTTTGTTTTTGTTGATGAATAAATAAATCCTGCACCTATCATGCATAAGATCAATGTAAAAATCCGCAATTTTTGCCATCCTGCAACTTCGTTCACTATGGGACTATTATGCCTGGTTCATGCGGTTAATTAGCAGAAAATGTGCTCAGCACCTCTTCTTTAATACACCCCGCTACAACTGCCACCACAGTGTGATATGACGTTAGTTTCTTTTTTTTTTCACGGGTAAAATGGCCAGTAACTGCTTGTTCAATTGTTTCGATTCACAAGCAAGTTTTATGCCAGCATGCCAACTGTGGCTGAAAGCTCTTATCTTCAATAGCTTTCATCACATTTGAATTTCGTAACATTGCATGTGCATGGTGTCAAGTTAAAACAAATCCATGTACCAGATCCATGTGCAGAGTTCACCGCCTCATTTTAGTTCTTTGAGAACATGGTTCTTGCTCTTTCGTGTTGCACACTTGCGACACTTCGTGCTCGCTGCACTGTAAAGGGCTTCCTAATTGACCTAGCTGTAACCAAATTAGACTGAATTAACAAGTGTTCGATGCCATTAAACAATACATATGCTGGCCAGGACGAGGGAACAAATCCAAATGATCCAATTTTTCAAGTTAATGGGGGCCAAATCAATGAGATTTTGCTCTGATTGGTTACTATAAAAGTAATTATTAATTACAAAACTACATACAAATTATGCATAATTTATGACTAACTAATCTGAAAGACATGTTGACATCACAAAACCTGTGCCATGTCTTCATATGCATCATAATTTAAAGGGACACTACAGAGGAAAACAATTTTTCACATATTATTAAAGTACAATTTCACAATCCTCAAAGCACCACTCTTACTGCGAGACGACGCTTGGTGAGAAAATGCACGAAAAGAAAATGCGAGTGGAGACACCACCTTGAGATTCTTGTACCAAACATCATGACATAGAAAGGCGTCTTCAGTGTTCGACGTAGCTTCTAATCATTAAAATGAAGTACATTGTCATCTGAGAGTGCTGCAGACCTAGCATACAAAGTTTTAAGAAAATTGATTAAGCCAATAAGGCATCATGTGCGGAGATTTCAGCGCAAAATTTCTAAATGAACCTTCATTCTTGATTTTTCTCGGCTAATAATTAACTTATGATAGTAAAACTTTAAGCATTGGAGCTCTCAGAGTGCAGTTTATCAATCTAAACCAACTCATTGTTGCTCTTTAATGTCCCTTTCAACATGTTTCATTCATACTTGTTGCTTTAAGCTGCATGAACAGGGTGTTCTGATCAAAGTTCACAATTCCTCTTACATTTTCCAGGCTGGTCAACGCAATGGATGCTATGGACAACAAAGCCTTTTGGCGCCTTCTTGCAAACTACAAGTTTCACCTTGCGATTGAAAACTATGTCTGTGAGGACTACATCACTGAGAAACTGTGGCGACCGCTAATTGTTGGATCAGTGCCTATTTACTTTGGGTCACCATCAGTGGTTGATTGGTTACCGAACTATGCCAACAGTGCCATTCTTGTTGCTAACTACAGTGGCCCCGAAAAATTGGCAGAGGCAATCAAGCAAATAGGTGGTAATGACATGATGTACGAAAGTTTTCTAAGCCACAAATTACACGGCAGAGTCACCAACAAGGCTCTTTTAAGTGCCATGAAAAATCGTAGGTGGGGCGTAAATGACCCTCAAAGACCAAGTTTTGTGGAAGAATTTGAGTGCCTCATTTGCTCAAGGATTTGGAAAAGGCTGAAGAACCCAGGTACTGCGAGTTTCATTGCCAACGCTAGCCACTATAGCTGTGACATGCCTCATGCCATGCTAACGAGACAGACTGCGACTTTATGGAAAGATTTGTACAGGCAAGCCAAAACTGAAGCAGAAGTTTTCGAGGACCTACTTCTGGCTAACGTGGCCTTTGGTGGGAAGGATGTTCAAAACAAGGTTTTGAGCTTGCTACAGGCACGAGCATCACATTCAATGAATTGATCTTATTGCATCAATATTAATAAGCTGTAGATACACATACCTTAAACATATTAACTCTGTAAAAGCACATTAGCCTGTACTTTCTCTCCTTACATGTGTTATTGGCAAGACCAGCAAACCATGCCAGCCAGTTGTTTAAGGCAAGAAAATTATATTAGCTTGTCAGGTGTTTACTACTTGAAAAAAAAAAATACTAATAAGATTGTCTCATCCAACATTGTGTTGGCCTGAAATTGATATGAGCTTTTGCGTTGTTGTGGACTTCAGTGCATGTGTATATTATGTTGTATGTAACTCCACACCACGCAAGGAGCTTTTGAAGCCCTCTCAGAGGCACAATCTGTGACTTTAGCCGCACATTGAAAATCGCTAAAAAACAAACCTTGGCGACTTTTAACTAAGAGTTCAACCTGTACGACTGATTTTTAATTGGTCCAGGACAACAATGATGAGCTCGTTTGTCTCTTGCAGTGTAAAAAGTTTTTAATAGTTTAATGGTTTAATATATATCCGCAATTTTTGCCATCCGCAATTTTTTGCAAAATAACCTTTTTCTGTAAAATGCACCTTTCCAACGAACGTTTTTTTCTCTATTGCTTCAAATGGTTTTCACCGATTAGGCTGCATTTTTAAGAAAAGCCACCTTTTGCAAGTTTTTTTTGTCTTTTTACAGTCCTTAAAAGAGTGAAGCAGCGAATTACAAGTATTAAGTAAAGGCCATTGTGACTTAATTATGTATAACATGGGCAGCCTTTTCAAGGTCGTTGTCATCCAGCTGAGTGTTATGGTTATGGAACCTCCTCCTGAATGAAAGTTCCTATACTTGTACGCATTCATGACTATGGAAAGATTGACACACATGTATGCAGCATTGATCTCCATATTTGTACGATGCACTGCTTCTTGAACTGCTTCTTAAGCTGCTGTTTGTTATCCTCACTTTTCATCTAGCAGTGTCAGTGATTCTGACAGCAATAAGGTGATGCATGCAGACTGGAAACAGTGACGACTAAGCTAGTCTTTCTCGGAGCGCTATCTGTTGCTGTATACTATCTGAATCTATGCAGTGTTTAACGGAGACTTTTAGAAAATGTATACAATCACTCAGTCTCTGCGAAATTTTCAACCTAGATTGCTAGGAAACAGTGCCAGCGACATTAAATGATAATCGCACCCAATGCAGTACTAGTTTCTATCAATGATGCTTTCGTCGCCAAGAAAATTTACCATTTGTAGCTTGGCAATTCACTTGGAAGTTGTATAACCTCCAAGTTTCCGTGCTTCTTTTTTTATATGTTGAAGTTAGTTCTCAATCCTGCTAATAGGTATGGCATGATGGCATGCGAGCCTAAAGCCCCTAGATAAAACAAGTTTCCAAGGTAGCGACACCCTCCCCTTTTCTTCCCGCTTGTTCCTGGAGCGCTCCCTAGAAGGTTCAAAACTCGTAAAAAAAGCGAATGTTTTGGTTCAGTTGCTACAATGAATATATGTAAATGAAACAAAATGGAAGGAAATGAGGTGTAGAATAAACGGTTACCTATATGAATACGAACGGTACAACACAAGAGCAAGTGGGATGTGTGTTACTAAACTGGCAACGTTGTGCAGTTTCATATTTTACACCACCAGCCATAGCGTCTCTCATCTTGCATCGTAGTTCGTCTAGTTCTCAGAATGTGTTGTGTTCGTGCTGCGACACAGTGAACGCGATTTTTGCAGTCCTGTCAGTGACTGCTGGGCGCGACGTGACGAGTGGTTATAGCAGGCTTGTGCACACGCAAGGAAGAACCATGGCCAGACTGGTGCGAAGGCTTGCCTAGCAGCACTGCGATGACAGTTTTTTTATATGCCCGTTTTGACAATCGTAATGCCAGGCAAATCTGATGCAGTGTGCAGAACTTCCCGAATCGGCGCATTTCAGCTCCTTTATGACATGTTCTAGAGAAAGTGGCTCGAACTGGTCAAGTGTAAAATGTTCTTGAAGGTGCGTTCATTACACCCCTTCAGTTGCTCTGTACGTGCATACACACAACTATTTGTAACACCAGTCATGCACTAGATGCGCTGCTGGCGTTTCAACAAAAACCAACAATTAAACTCGTTTTGCATATCCGTGTTAATGGCGTTGCACGGAAGCATTCGCATTAAATGTTTCATAGCTACACTTTTTTCTATTTATTAAATGTATATAAGGAGAGGTTAGAGCCAATACGTGGCGCCGGCTACTCCTCTTCTCTTGCACAAAAGTTGACATCGCCTATTTGGTAGCAAACAAAACTATACATATGAACATAGCACAACACTTACGCAATGAGACTGCATTTTTCCATACTAAAGTGTGTCTACACCACACAGAGTTTGTAAAAACAGAATCATGGCAATTAAAGCGTCTCCAAAAAAACCTTTGTGAAAACAGTTCAGTACTTGAAAGACATGGTCACCTTCGACATTTTAGTGAACTTTCATGTTTTGTGTGGACACTAAAAGCTACACTTCATGGTGTGCGTTTCGGATAGCACAAGGTACGTTCCAGAGAGCGAAACCGTTTTCTGTTATTTTACTGCAACCCAGCATTGTTGAAAAACTCGGATGTTGCAGTGAACATGCACCGCAAAACAATCTAGGTTTACTGGGCACACCAACTGCAATGCTCCTACTCTGCAGCTCATCATGTCCTGGCTACGACTTCGTCTTTGGTCACGGCAGAAATCCGACTGGAGTCATATGCGTATGCGTTTTGAACCTTTTGCGTGATAATAAATAACATTACCAACCCTTCGCAAGACTACATGCAAGAAAAGCACCAATTACAGACACGGATGGCAGAGAAAAGGAGGGGTAAGCGAGTGAGTGAGGAGGACAGCATGGAGAACAATGAGTGACGCTACCTTGGCAACTTGTTTTATCTAGGGACCTTATTCGAGCCACGATCAAGAGTGAAACATAGCAGAATGAAATGAATTATTCAGAAATAAAGCCCTCTACTGTTTTTTCTTGATGGATGTTGCATGTCATCTAATCCGCATTGTCTGCTTTTTGTGCACTTGTGGTCATTACTTTCTTTTTTATTTCAACATATCCATCTTAGTATATGCAGGAGGGGGAAATCTGTCGAAGGTACACTAATAGGTAAATTTGATACCCTTGGTTAATAAGAGAGTTTATGTCGTGCCAGTGCCGTGCTAGTTCCTTTGTGTTAGTGCGGCGCGATACTAGCGGTTTCGATGCAGCATTCAAATTGAGGGCAAAAGTGCAGCCACGCTGTGTATCCAGCACTACTAGCATGAGATGAAAACTCGCGGGAAAGCTAGTGCTGAAGTGCTGATGAGCTCGTGCAGCACGACGTCACTCTGAGTGCAGGTGGCACTAGCTGCACTAGCGAAATTGAGGGCCAAAGTGCAGCATTCTTGAACTAGTGCAGCCAAATCGAGGAAACCTTACATATCCCAGTAGCGAGACCAGGTCGATGTCACCATCGGCATCTGGGAAATCCAACCACCACTGTCCATGTAGACTTGTGGAAGACCATTCGGTTTTTAATCCCTTGGCAATGGAAATGGAATGTTTTTATATGAGGGTGGTCTGAAAAGTTCTCAGCCTCAGAAAGAATCTCGCGAGCTAGAACATGCAGCACTCATGTGCACATTCATACAAGTCTCTCATGAAACCCCATCTAGTGCCGATTAGCAGTTTGGCTTTCACAGTCGATCACAGTGAGTGCTGTGTGAAGCACCGTAAGGCATGGAAAAGTTTGAGTACCCTGTGGTGATGAAGTTCTTCGTGAAAGAAGGCTTATCTCCGAATTAAATTCACCAAAGGTATGAGCAAGATTCACCTTCATACACCACAGCCAAGAAATGGGCTGCCGAGTCAAAGTGGGAAAGGGAAAGCCTTGAAGATGACCCGCACGAAGGGCGCCCAAAGAGTGCAACAACTCCTGAATTGACCGTGTGCACACAATGGTTTTGGAAGAGAGAAAAGTGAAATTGTGCGTGCAAAATTGCGGAGGAGTTTAGCGTCTCAGTTGAACATGTTGGTCACATTTTGCATAATGAACTACACATAAACAAGCCCTGCGCATGATGAGTGCCGCGCATCCTTACTCCCAAAGAAAAATGCAACTGCATATGACAATGTTACAGCATGCTTTGGAGCTGTACAACAAAAATCCAGCAGACGTTTTGTGCACATTATAACAATGAATGAAACTTGGATTCACCATTACACAACGAAATCGAAATAAAGCAGTGAACTGAAGCCGGGTCCTCTGCACCAAAAAAAGCCAAGTCGGCGTCCTCTGCAGAAAAAGTGATTGCCTCTTTTTTAGGACACTAAAGACATTCTGTGTGTAGATTATTCTTGAAAAGGGTAAAACCATAACCGAGGAGTATTATTCCGACCTTTCAACTCAATTGGATCAGAAAATTCACAAGAGAAGACCAGATTCGCAGAAGAAGAGAACGATGTTTCATCAATGTACTGGGGTGGCACAAAGTGCATCTTGCAATGGTTAAGTTGCACAACTTGAAGTATGTATTGTTAGAGGTATGTATTGTTAGAGGACCCACCCTATTCTCCAGATTTGGCCCTGCCGGACTACCACCGGTTCCCAAAACTCAAAATCTATCTTGGTGGGCAACGTGTTTCATAACATGAAGAAGTCATTGTCAATATGGGCGATTGATTGATTGATTGATTGATTGATTGATTGATATGTGGGGTTTAACGTCCCAAAACCACTATATGATTATGAGAGACGCCGTAGTGGAGGGCTCCGGAAATTTAGACCACCTGGGGTTCTTTAACGTGCACCCAAATGTGAGCACACGGGCCTACAACATTTCCGCCTCCATCGGAAATGCAGCCGCCGCAGCCGGGATTTGAACCCGCGCCCTGCGGATCAGCAGCCGAGTACCTTAGCCACTAGACCACCGCGGCGGGGCTTCAATATGGGCGAGTAAGTTTGAAATCTTTCACAAGGATGGAATCCTGGCTCTAGAACATTGATGGACCAAGTGTGTAGAGTTCAGAGATTATGTTGAAAAATAATTTTGAAAGTCTGAAGTGCTTTTTTCTTACAAAAGGCAAAAAACTTTTCATACCACTCTCATACTACATGCCGTTTGTCACATTTTTTCTATGCACACTTTTTGCAGCTCTACTTTAACATTTTTTACTAATGGTTCTCTCCAGGGCCGTAAATAGGGGACAGTTGAGAGGGTTCTGACAGCCCGAAATTTTCTATGCTTTTCGGGTGATTCTGAAGTATTTATGTTTCACATCGACCACCAGTTGCCAAAGTTTAAAAAAACATCCCCACGACTACCATTTAGCACAATTGAGGTGTTGTCCATCATTTTGTCTCTAATTTATTTTTTACTTGCACAGGTCCAATGTCTCTATGAAAGGCTTCTCTCTCTTCCCTCTTGCTTCTGCGCATTTTATAGCTGCCTCCTTTGGTACATGTGGTAGGCTCTTGATTGTTGTTGGAGTGATGCAAGTAATCCCCTTTGTTGATGTCACTGCATACTTGTAGTTTGTCAGGCGGCTCACCGAACAACCCGCGAAAAGACTACAGTACTTCACCGCTCTGATGGTTCTACAAGTTCCCTTTTCGGAACGAGAAAAGGGAGGGGCATGGAATATTGCACAATACCACAGACAATGCCTTGCTTCAAACCAACAGTGCCCACTCAAGCTCTTTCAAGCCAGGCTTCAGGCACCACATTTACTATGGCAAAAGACAAGCAACAGTGGTAAGCGAGCTTCCCGTGTGTAGAAGCCTCAAGCTCATTTCATAGGGGGAGCCCGCCAACGTCACAGGGCAAGTGAAAGTAGTCAGGTGGCCCTGCAAAAATGAAGTTGAGGGCAGCCATTTTTTTTCTTCTAGTATTTTTTAATTGAATAATATCTGACTGTGTGCCCCTATCGCAGCCATTCTGGCTGCACTAATCAGTTCATAGTTCAATACATGCAACCCACAAGTAAAAAGAAATGGGGGTTGCGTAGTGTTAGAGGGACCTTTCAAGTAGTGTAATTAAATAAATTTCACTGTAAACTTCTGTATGCATTCTATATTAAGGCAAAAGCCTTAGATGCCTCACCAAAACTAAAAATTGACGGTCTGCATGAGTGAGGCGACAAATCGCGTGATGGCGTCATCACATCACTGATCGCCAATATTTGTGATGTCCCATAATGACGTTGTGGTGGCTGCGAACAGTTCTCTCCTACCGGTTATCCACCCACCAACTCGACTCCCTCATCACATGGAAAAGAGCAAGGCGAGACGAGAAAAAATAAAGGATCAGTTGGATAGCTGTGATGCACGCCATCTGGTTTTTCTTAGCTATGCGTACTTGCATCTCAATGTGGTGACCTGAATGACGAAAGCAGAGAAAAATGGCGAGATTTCTAGCACGTTCATGAGTACAGTTGTAGCATATCGTCGTTTTCACGACCTCTGCTGCTGGAGTTGAAGGACCCCCCAACACTCTTGAGATGCTCAAGAGTTCTGCATGTGGGTTCTCAAGGGTCCTGCAGACAGAGGCCCCGGGTGACGTTCTATAAGAAAGGCAAGTATTGTCGACATCAGAGAACATTTACACAGCACGACATAATACCGCGACTGTGACTACTATTGTTCACCACCCCTCTCACTCTGTTGTCTGGCTGCTCTCAAGTGGTTTGGCTGCTTATGCCAGGAAGCTTTTTTTTTCCCACAAGGGAGACAAGCTCAAAGCACCCACACCGTTTCATTCTTCACCGCTTGCAGTTCCTCCAACCCCTTCGATTTGAAAACGGTGCGTTCAGCACACAGTCTCGGGCGCTCCCTCACTATGCCACGCCAGTTTCTTATGGTATTCATGAGAATGTTTTGAACTGATGCAAAATCGTTCTGAATCAACAATGTTAGCATTAATTATACCATGCGGTAGAGCAGTTACGATATAATTTTGGGATTACCAAAGGCAAAGCTAATGTACTGTGAAAAAAACAAAAAGTCAAGAAAAACTTGTGCTGTCGGGGGCTCCTGAACGTAAACAGCGGTATCGCTTACGGGAGAAAACAAATTAACATTCCACCCGATATAAACAGGCAGTCGAGTCAAAGAAGAGAATGGAGCACTTTCTGCAAGGAGCTTATTGCCGCTTCTTCGAACAAGCGGTAATAAAATCTAACTTTTTCAGCGAAACAAACATTTCTGCCATATTACACACAGACGTATAAATGAATGAGCAAGCACTCATCAGTGCTTCGGCACAGGCAGCTAGTATGGTCACATTTCAAAAGTCTGCTATAATAAAGGGGGACTTTTTCGAAATCTCGAAGTACAAATGGGCTCTTCAGACCATCTCAACTGGCCACCCATCTTCACTGAAAACAGTTCACTAAATCTTTCATCTCAGAATGTCCGCCACTTAAAAAGGTAATAATCGAAGTGGCGAGTAACTGCTCTCCATTATCATGGGCATTGTCGGACACATTATCTGAAACATGCAGTGTACACGCGGACATACTAGCACATGCAATTACTACCTATGCTTTCCCCTGTAGGTCTAGAGCTTTGCCCGGTCTCTGTCACAGACTCAAACTCTCATTCGACAACAAAGCCAGGTGAAAGTCAGTTGAGTATGTGGTAATCGCACAAGAGCAATGTTGTGTACAGTAAAGTACCTTTGCCATACAATCGAAACCACTTGTAACAAAATTCGTGGCACGGGAGTCTCGAATAGCCACCCTGTAAACAAAACATTTTTCAAGGGCCGCAGTTCCGCAAAACATGTTGAGCATTCAGCCTCTCAAGTCTGAGAATCAAAGCATCTGATGCATGGTGCTTACAACCATTTAAATTTATGTTAAAAAAAAACTTAAGGCCTAAAGACCCACGTTTCCAATGAACTTGACATGAAGGGGGGGGGGGGGGGGTGCAGAAAAAAAGTGCCATTGTAGAAATTGGTCGACTACTACTCAGACCCCCTCAATCATGCACATTACACTGAAACTATGTCGTGTCCGAAATTTCGCATGCTGAAAGACACAGATTGATTTCACAGATGCACACCCAATTGTAAGCCATCGCAATCAAATTGTGAACAACCATTCGAGTGCTACACATGCCCCCTCGTTTTCATTAATGATACTATGACCTTCCTTTAAATGCAGCCACCACAAAGTTTTTTTCATTTCATAGCAAATCACAACTTGTATTGCATGCGACTGTACCCGAAATGCAACTAATGCTCATTAGGCCTAGCCTGCCATTCGGTATGTTGTTGCAGAAAGATTATCCCCTCCTCCTTCGTAACAACTTTGTCATGCACTCCCTACCGCCTGTGCATTATTACAGGTCTTCTGCCTTGTGTGTGTGTGTGGGGGGGGGGGGGGGGGGGGGGCTGCACAATAAGCAGTGTGTATACAAAGGGTTCTATGGGAGCATAAGACGGGAGTAAAAAAAGACCACATTGTAACCGGTCTTGAATTACAAGCGGTCAGGTTAAGCGGTCTGTCCTGTCTATTTGGAAACCTGGTGACTAGCCTAATGCTTTAAAATATGGCTCACAATTTCTACGTGGCATATCTAGCATATAATTGTTTGGTTACCATTGCTTAGAACTTAGAAGGAATAGCTATATTTCCATAAGGAATAATTTTTACAATCAATAACTCTGCCTTAATGGTGCCATCAGCCCGCAAGGAAACATCTGCCAACGGTACCTATTTAATTGCCATTGCGCAGCTGCACCTAGAGCGGATGTTGGGTGTTTATGCACATATCTCCTACTACAGCGTAGTAAATATAAATACGAGCAGCGTTCTTCTGACAGCAATTAAATACAGAAGCCAGGCGTTCTCGCACACATTGTTCTAGTTTTCTTTTTCTGTATCGCGAGCTTCTGACTAGCCCTTCTTGGACACCTTCAGATACATAAAGTTTGAAAGCAGACGCTGCAGAGATAAAGCAAGCTAGGGAATGCTACTAATGTAGCCTCGTTATTGGTTTACGAGGTTGGAAAAATGAGTGCTTTTATACTCACTCCTGGCACTCGCTCCTTGCTGTTTGACTGTTTTAGAGACGTGGAACTGTCTAAAGAAGGCCAACCTAAACAGTTTAATCTAGCAGTCCTCAAATTTGCACATTGAGTGAACCTGCCTTTGAACCTGCTTTGGGACCCAGGGAGCGATTTCTTCCAAGCTGTTAACATACCCTTCTCCTGTTTTGTCCTTGCAGCGCCTCAATAAAGAGAAAGAGCCCCGCGAAAAAGCCATTCAATTGGAAATTTTTTATTTGATGGTTCACACTCAACAAATGCAACTGCCCAAGAGGAGCTGTAGAAAGTGCCCACATGCAACTTGCCAAGTGAGCAGCCGACACAGCTTCTCTGTCCTGCGGAAACTATCAATGGCGTTCCCCCCATTTTGATAATGAATACATGCATCAGGTCTTATCTTCAAGTGCGCGATCAACTTTACAAAGCAGCCTGCAGCTAATCAAACCTTGGCAAACATCAAGGCTACGGGCCTAGGAAGCCTACAAAGCCAATTCACCTGACGCAAAGTAATACCTCCACTCCATTCTGCCAACTGTTTAGCAATCAAATTAGCACAATTTATGCAGGCACCATAGCATGTGAATACTTACAGTGTACAGTGCAATTCCTGAAATATAAGTGCCCAAAACAAACATAATAAATAAAAGTTTATATATGCATATAACAGAAGCTTCCAAAAAGCTCTGCTGTAGCACTTTCTGGTCTGCAATTCACGCCATTGTCAGTGCATAAATTAGAGCAGACACGTACACTTGCAGTCATAATGAACTTTGTAAAACTGCTAAGAGGGGAGTGATAACCTATCTGTCCAGAGAGAAAAAAAAAAGGTGGGAGGAGTGAGGACTTTCACGCATGCCTGATGTATCAAAACTTACTTAACCACACCGCAATCATACACAATTTCACAATTGTATAGGCAGACGCCACAGCACTGTGTTATTGCTGGAACAAATGAAGGTAGGTTGTCACAGCCATTCACAACAGCAATTAGTAAATGCAGTTGCATTTGAAGAAAATGAATTCATGATATCAGCATCCCATTGTAACACGACTGCAGACTGCAAGCTTCAGCTGTTGAAACCGCAACAGTATGCACCTGGGTACATAGCAATAGTTATTAGCCACAGGTCCCGTGAGCTGCAACAAATAATTCAGCGCAAGCTCTTAATGCTGCTAAAACAACGTTTCCCAATACCTTTCGTTTTGGAAATATGCCTACAGCTTGCAGGTTCAACCGGATATGGAACGATCATCCACTCATCTTAAGCACATGTTAAAACTCCGTAATGAACGACAGAGTTCCAGCTAAGTGGAGTTAGTATTGAGTAAACAGTACAAAGAAGCGACACAGGCTTATGTTTTACATGCCTTATGTTTAATAGGAGTTCGAGTAGAAAAGAAAGCACACACACACACACTCACAATGCATCAAGCAACAAGGTCAACCTTGATACCTTGCTCCATCTTTTTATTTGTCATCACTTTTTGCACTAGATGGGCCTTGTTTAAGTTACGGCTATGGGTTAATGATTTTCTCTTTATATAAAAACAGCACATGACGATGAACTGTGCAAGGAGAAGGAAAGTAAAAAAACTGCTATAGCAGCAAAAGATTGGTTGGTCAGGCAGAAACTGTGATTGAGACATTGAACCGAGACACACAATAAAAACCCAAAGACTGCTAGGTTAAAAAACAAACATACTGTGCACGATTGGCAGTCTGTAAAGCATACGCCACAGTGCTTATTTACATCATTGCAGAAAGGTGACACACTGTTACACACCTTCAGCCTTGGCCAATAAAGCCAAAATCAACAAAAAAATGCATTCGAGGACACTTCCACCCAAATAAAAATTAAAATAAAAATTAAGTCACTACTTCACTGTTCAGAACAATGAAAGCGACTTCACAGTGCAGGAGGAGCATTTGACTATGTAAAAGGAGCCTCACTACACTAAGGAAAAGGGGGCAGAGAGGAGGCTGAAGGTTCTGTCCCACAAACAGTCGCCAAGAACCAGTGTCAATCTGAATACCACTCCTCCACCTCTAATTCCTTCAACATTGTAAAGCAAAGACGTGAGGGCCTATAGGTTTCCAACCACTCATTTATATATACAGGAGGCCACAAAATTAAATAAGTTCCTAAGGGGGTGAGGGGAAGGAGAAACAAGGCAGGAGGACATGGAAAAAGAGGAGGAGGTGTAGGCCTATCACTCTTTACTCATTCAACACTTTTTCCCTTTGTTTTTTTTTTCCTTGCACTCTTTTTTTTGGTATTTCTCCTTTCCTTACAAAAGGACATCGTACACAAGCCACAAACATACATACAAAAACCTAACAAAAAATAACAGCAGTATATTGTATAAATGAATGATGACCGGCAAAAAAAGCTTCCATTTCCAAAGTTCATCCTTCCTTGGCTGTGAATCAATGGCACAGCCTAGTATGCGTAACTTTCATGGGCATGCAGCCTGCGTTTCCTCAAATCTTTCTTGGCTCAGCCAAGTCAGATGCTGGGTTTCATCATAATCTGCATGTTGTGTCTACATGGGCAAGGAGCAATGCTTCCATTTTCATTTGGAGCTCCCTTTTTCCAGCACCGTCCTGCAGCAGCTAGGCTTGTCCCTGGCATTGCTTCCCTTCCACCACTACTCCCATCACAACCCTTCACCTTGAAATAAACACCCTATGATTGCAGCAACCAATTGATAGAGGAATAAATGGCTACATTTTCGGTCTTGGAGTCAGCTTACAGATGAATAGTGAACGACAAGCAACAAAAATACAATCAGTTGAGGCAGAAAAAGGACTAAGTGCTTGCACGTCAGCAGACTTGCCATAGTAAGAGCAAGTGTCACTTGGTGTAGAGCTAGCAACACTGCCTCACCAAAAGGGGTGAAGCGAAGCAAAGGACTGAACATGTAAATAAATGCTGACAATGAAAGCTGAGTAACCAGAAAAAAAAAAAAGAGGGATGTCAAGGAGGGGTGAGGGGGTGACAAAGAAGTGGAGTGAAAAGGAGTGCAGATGCAGAGTCGATCACGGGACAGTCCGAGAGCAGGAAGGTGCCACGGGTACAGGGACTGCTGCTTGGTGGGGCTGGCGCATAAGCTGCAGTAGGTCTAGTTGTGCCTGATGCCAACGCCACCACCAGGAGGGTTACGGCTGCCACCTCTCGAGAAGGTGCCACGCCCACCAGCCCCATTAGCACGCCCTCCCGGAGGTCCTCTTGGCATCATACCCGTTCCTCCACTGCGAGGGCTGCCTGACGTAAAGCTGCCTCCTCGTCCTTCTGTGGCAAGCTTCTGCTTGGTCTTCTTCTCTTCAACGTTCACACGAGTTTCATTAATGTAGATGGGCTGCGAAGCAGTATGATGAAAAGCCATTAATTTTGCACCACAAATTACGACATCAACTGCCTTCATTCAATCTTGAGCTACAGACAATTATACCTGCGGTCATCCCCATGACATACTTTAGCAGCAAAATATTACAGAGTAAAGGTCACTCACTAATTGATATGTGGGGTTTAATGTCCCAAAACCACCATATGATTATGAAAGACGCCGTAGTGGAGGGCTACAGAAATTTCAACCACCTGCAGGTCTTTAATGTGCACTCAAATCTGAGCACATGAGCCTACAGCATTTCCGCCTCCATCGGAAATGCAGCCGCCCCAGCCGGAATTCGATATCCTGACCTGCGGAGAGTATAGACACTTTACACAAAGTAAAGTATCCCTTTACTCTGTCTTTGTGATATTTCGCGGCTAAAGTATGTCATTAAGCAAATACCAACTAGGCCAACAATCAGTCTTAGTCATCTTTATGTTTCTCGCTTTTGTTGATCACTGGAGGTCACTAGAACACTACATCTAGTACCATTAGAGAGCTCAGCCCCTCTTTAAAAATTTGGTGCATATTTACATGATAAAAATCATATATTCAGCCAGAAAGCAAGTTTAAATGTGGACTATGTAACACAAGCTGCTTGCTTTAATTATTTTTAAAAGAAGTGCAGTTGCAATGGCATCCTCATCATCAAAGTGGTGAACTGATTTCATAGCAAACGTACGCATGCACTTTCGGAGACAAACACAGCTGAAAAATGAGCTAATCACAACAAAAATTTACACTTTTGGTGGCAACTAGACATGTAAAGCATTTTGAAATATGTGCAAGCCTTCGACTTAAGTTTATGTTTAAAGAAGAGTGCAATATCTTTCATTGCAATCAAATAATCTTACTATTCATACCCCCCCCCCCCTTTTTTTTTTCAATCCATCAAGTATAAGTGCAGCAGTGGTGCATCTTGAAGCATCAAATGATGTCTGCCAAGGTGTCTGTAGTTTGTGAAGAGCTGAGGAAACTTAAGTGACCACTAGCAACCAAAAATACTCGTGGTTTTCACAATCACAATGTGCATGAGTAAAGTAAGTGATCGCTCATGTTCAGTAAGTTGTGCAGTAGCGGGATCAGTACGCGACCAGTGACTCAATATATCAGTTAAAACATAGGTTTAGTATGCCTGCTGCCGTCTCTCGCAAGTGTGAAAGGGAGTGGAGAATTAAGCAGACAACTGTTTAAAAATTTCGACTTTTAAATATACACACACAGGGCATGTGTTTGCATCGTCAATTTATTATTGCAACTGTTAGATCCATTCACGAAAGCCATTGTGGCCATTGTTTTAGCGTGCTTTTCACCATGGTGTCGCAAATGCATGAGTGAGAATCGAGTCTTGATGCTCCCGGGAAACAATAACACTTTTTGCATTTTAAGAATAAAAGTTCCTTTGTTGCTTGGCTAGCTCAGATCAGCTATAATTTTTCGATTTCACTATAACAAATCTTTCGCTTCCACGATTTTTTTTTTGCCGTGCCCAGTTTTTCTGTAGCGAGGTTCGACTGTAGTTCCTTTTTGGAGAAATGAAGGAACGCCACCATTCCATTCAGGATAGGTGAAACTATAACGGTAAATTGTGTACAATTAGGGCCCGTTTTCTTTGTTAGATAAAATATAAGTGAGATCTAACTGACAATCATGCCAAGGAAAGAAGTACAGGGGATGTTAAATTGTCGCGAGTAATGCTTTTTGGTTTGTTCATTTATGTGTTCACTTCCCAGCGTTTGGCAGCGCCCATTCTTGTTGACTTTGAAAGCAAAGGGCACATTTTATCTGTTTTTTTGTAGCACACAAGCTATCTCATTTGATAGGGAGAGTGTTTCCCTTTCTTTACTAGAGCTGCATTATCGGCCTAAAAGCCCACCGGAAAACCGGGGGCAGTCATCGTTTACCTGGCCATGCAGACACCCACGCCGACCAGTCAACTGCTTTTTTGCAGCTTAATTTTTAGCCAATATCAGTTCTTTGGAGAGCACAAGTTCGCTCCAATAAACCTAATTGAACGAAAGGTCCTTGTCTCGTTCCTGGTTACGAGACAATGAGTTAATTGTAATGTAAATGTGAAGAAAAGCCCTTATCTACTTTACTGGGTATTAGGTCCCTGCCTAAGGCAAGATATCATTTTATCCAGTTTTCTTTCTCCACGTTTACATTACATTGTATAACAACCCCTATACTTTCCTTGGCATGATTGTCTGTTAGATCCCATTATTTTTGTATCATTTTTGTATAAAAATGCAAGAAGAGTGTACCACACTCGCTGCCATGGCAACAGGTGGCATTTACTTGCGCTCCCACATTTAATCCACACATATACCCAATATAGGGGATGGGGGGATAGCCGCACGGGCAGCTTGGTAGAGCATCGAATGCGCTACTCGAAGGTCCCAGGTTCGTTCCCTGGCCACTGCAAGTTATCTTTGCATCCACTTTCTTCAAATTTACATTAAAATTATGGCATATAACATCTTCTGCATATTACTGGGCATGATAGTCGGTTGGATCGCATTAACAGTAACTCGTTACATTTACGGCAGAACAGTAGAAGGAACGTTGTTTCTTTTGTAAACGTTCCATGAACGCACGCAGCCCATCATGCAGAACAAAGTGGATGGACAAGCCCACGAGGCGTCAAAATGTACCACTTGGCTATCATGTGAATATGATGAATCCTGGTTCTCACATGAACGGCCAAACCCCATAAGCAACAAAATGCACATGACAGCGATTCTATGGGCGACGAAAGAAGACGTTCACGCGACATGTTGTCAGGCCGTTTTCACACCATCACTCAGATTTTCAGATTTGCAGTCGCCCATCGGCCAAAGTGCAGTGCTCAAAGCGCCGGACCACGATGCACATGAGTGACGTACTGCTGGTTGTCTCCACATGCCAATGTGCTTCGAAACCATGATCCCAGAGTCACATGTGCACAATGAAATAAGAATGTTCATGCATGCTCATATAAAAGAAAAAGTGCTGCAAGGCAGTGCACCTTAGGTTCCATTATGAATCAACACACTTTATAATGCATACCGCTGACTACGTGACATTTTTGGTACGAGTAGACAGCCTCATGCCAGCAACAGTGAAGTTTGCTTGCCGTAGCAGTTGCGTGAACAAGGTTAGCCTGGACAAGCGACTTCGCGCGAAGGCGATCTACGGCACGTCGCTGTCGCGTGCATTTTTACGCTTATGGGGTTTGGCCTTAAGATGCCAGCCAGGGGTGCAGGGTAACTTTCACACAGTGTAGCTAAAGATGCCAAGACTGACCACATGTGGGAGGAACAGTTGATTTTTTTTTTTTTTTACAGCAGATTTGTTATACTCAAGATTTGCCACATGTCGAATTATCGTCATGAACCTGAATGCGCTCACTTTGTCTTGGATTATCCCATGCAGGATGCAACTCTGATGGGCAATAGAACAAGCAAAGAAAAAGCGAAAGAGAGGGACACAGAGGAAGAGGGAAAAAAAGAAAGAAATATGCGGAGAAAAACAAATTTTAGTGAAGCAATATTCGAGATCGTCTATGTACAATCCGAAGGCAAGCGTCTTAACAACTCTGTTGTCCACCTTTTTTTTTTTTTTCATTTTCAAAGTAATTATTCAATATAAACATGACTTTACAGCAATTACAGATAGAGAACAAATATATTTTTTGTGCTCTTATTGCGACCCAATGGCACACCCATAGCACTGAAGAATTTGCAATCACAGAGCAAATGCATGAAGTAACGGCCATTAGGAGTTACACGAGAATAGTGGTAAGGATGAATACCTCACCAATGCAAATAACATTCTGGCTGGCTTTCAGTTTTCTTGTAGACATCTCTTAGCTGAATGACCATCTCAATGAAAAAAGATGAGAAAATTATAGGCTCTGCGTTTATTCGTACCATGTTTATTCGCAACAAATTTCGACTACCTGGGGTTCTTTAACCATGTAATGCCCACTGTATTATATTTGATACATTCAATATGATACCACAATAATGCTACTAAAGCTACTATAGGTGTCGCAAGAAGCAGCCATGGCCGATTCGACATGTTATGAAGAAGGTACAGTAACTTACATATTGTATGATAGTAATTATTTCCAATTAGTACTAATCAAGTTATGCCTCAAACAAAATTTCATTCATATTTTTCTGAAAATGAACTGTACAAAAAAAGTAAAAACAGTCCACGCTTTCTCACAATTTTTCTGAAGGCATAACTGTTCCGGAGAATTACGGGGTTGAAGGGAAATTAAAGTCTAACACTTTTTTCATCCGAGTGAAAGCTCAATGTATGACGTCTAAAATGGCAATATTATCAACAGCAATGCCCTACTTACCAAGCAATTAAGGTACATGCACAAGAATACAGGCGCCACAGTAGAACATTCTCAAAATGATCCCGATGACGTCGGACGTGCCGTAGAAAATTAATCAATAATAATCTGACTAGCTGTACTAAATGAACGTTCCATGCATCAAGAGACATAATAACCAGCTGCTGGTTCGTTCGCTTGATTAATGAAAAAAAGGACTGCCGGACATTGCTATGAGGAATGGCGTGAGTGGTTAAAGTACAATTTTCGCATAAACTGGACAGGTCATACCATCAAGCGGGGCCAAATTGATGATGATGATGTTTGATGTTTTATGGCGCAAGGGCCATTTCACGGCCAAAAAGCACCAGTTCATCTAACTAAAACATGGACAATGATTGTGATAAGCGGCTGTATAAGGGCTATAAAATTCCTCGCGGTAAGGCGGGTAAAAACATACAAGTAATAAAATCATGACCATGCCGTGAAAGGGTGTGTGTGGTGCGAATAGATGAACAAAGTTGGTGATAATAAAAGACGATGGTGGATATGTATGGCATTAGCACAAGTGCCTCACTCGTTCATACCCTTGCGTCCAAGGACCGTGAGACAAGTGCTTTCTTGTGTAGCTACCCCAGCG